GTAATTATTAAATAAAATAAATCTTTTTTCTTTATTTTTTACTGTTTTTATTTTTTTTGTTCTTCAAAGATATATTAGGACCAAAAATAGTCTGGATATATTTATAGAATGACGCCTGTTGGGAGACGGAACTTTTAAAAGTTACATGCAAGTCCACAATATTCAGACCGACACCGGTCTGGATATATTTATAGAATGGCGCCGGTTGGGAGACGGAACTTTTAAAAGTTACAAGCAAGTCCACAATATTCGAACCGATACCGGTCTGGATATAGTTGCAAGTTTTAAAAGTTGCAGCTGGGTCCTCAATATTCGGACCGATACCGGTCCGTATATATTTGCGATGCCTCTTCCCCCCACAGTTACAGACCGTTGTCGGTTCGTATATATTTTATTATTTTATTTTATTATTTTTTTGGACCAATTTCGGTCCGCTTATTTCAATTTCTCAATAATTATTTATATTTCTTATTGAAATATCCAGACCGATTTCGGTCCGAATATTATATATATACGAACCGATTATGCGTCGGTCTGTATATTAGACTTATTCGTACCAGGTTTTTTCGGATCAACTATAAGGACCAATATCGGTCCGGATATACATATTTAGACCAATTTCCTATATATCCGGACCGATATTTCGGTTCGGAAATCCCATTCCTGCAGTAGTGAATAAATGTGAAATTTTGTAATTTTCGGTCTCTCCCTTTTTGTTTTGTTTTGTTTTGTTTCATTATTTTCTAAGTTCGTAAATGGAAAGAAACCTTACTTGGTCATGTCAGGGAAAAGTGAAATGAGCATTGCTAGAAGCGAGTGCGCTTGAACGCTTGAACGCTTGAACGCTTGAACGCTTGAACATTATGATACACCATTTTACTAAAAGAGATACCGAATACTCCGTTAACAGATAACTCAGGAGAAATAAAAAGAGGTTGGAGATCAAAATCTCGGATACCTGTTTTGTAGATGAATTAATTGTTGTTCTGTGAAAAAATAATAATGGAAAAGAGGTTGGTTGGAAAAAATCCCCTCAGTGATCAGTAACCTCCAGGACGATGGTGGATTATTTCCGTTCCCATTTCTTCTAGTGAGAAACAGAGAAATATAATTCTTTCAGTCGCTCTAAGGCACTCGCTTTATTTTGCCACCTCATACCTGTTTTTAAGGGGTTATAACAAATTATGTGTTTAATTTAAAAAAATTAATAATAAAAACATTTTCTCTCACCTCGCTTTTTGTCCACCACCATGGCTGGGGCTATTTGCCCAAAATATGATATGTGAAAAGTCGATAAAACCCAAAGGAATTAACCCAAAATATGACGGAAAGGAAAGTCTGTGAAAAGTCGATAAAACCCCAAAAAAATTGGATCAAAACCCAAACAATAATTCATTCCCAAAAAGTATGTGAAAGATAAAACCCCCAAACAAAATAACGATAAACCCCCAAACAAAAAATAGTATGAGTATGTGTAACGGGAGGAATAGTATGTGACCCAAAACCCTAAAAACATGACGGAAAGGAAAGTGTGCACCCAAACAGGACCCACAGGAAATTCATCATTCGGAGGACTTCTAAAGAAAATTTTTTGTCTGTCTAACGAAGAAACAGGAAAGTTGCACACAAACAGGACCCACAGGAAATTCATCATTCGGAGGACTTCTAAAGAAAAATTTGTCTGTCTAACGAAGAATAGTATGCACCCAAACAGGACCCACAGGAAATTCATCATTCGGAGGACTTCTAAAGAAAAAATTTTGTCTGTTTAACGAAGAATAGTATGTGTAGGTATGTGGGTATGTGAAACGGGAGGAATAGTAAAAATATGAAAAAAGTCGATAAACCCAAAAAATATGACGGAAAGGCAAAGTCTGTGAAAGTCGATAAAACCCAAAATTGGAATTTCACCCAAACAGGAAATTCAATAATTTCATTCGAAAAAAAGACGAGAAGAATATAAAACCCAAAATTGGTCATTTCCCCTGTCTGTCTAACGATGGATGAGGTCCAAGAAGCAGCGGCAGCTCTCCTTGCAATGCATGCAGGAGGGGCACCTGTAGGCAATACCCAACCAGTTGCAGCCCACGCCCCTCAAAGA